ACCAGCATCGACATCTGGTCGGCCGGATGCATCATGGCAGAGATGTTCACAGGGCGGCCGCTGTTTCCTGGCACCACGAATGAGGATCAGATCATCCGCATCTTCCGCATCATGGGCACGCCGACGGAACGGACATGGCCGGGGCTGCAGAACTTTCCCGAGTACAAGCCAACATGGCAGATGTACGCGACTCAGAATCTAGCCACCATCCTGCCGCAGATCGACGCGACCGGGATCGACCTTATCCAGCGTATGCTCCAGCTGAGGCCGGAGCTGCGGATATCGGCGCATGACGCACTGCAGCACCCCTGGTTCAACGATCTCTATCAGCCTCCTCAGCACCCACATCAGCAACCACAGCAGGCAATGATGCAACCACATCGGGGGTACCAGCAGCAGGTTCCTGGTCAAGTCAGTTACGACGGCTATTAGTATCAGGGCGAGGATATGCTGCCACGATTGAGGCCAGATGTGGGAGCCCAGTATCCGGATGGACGCGTGCCGGGGATTTATCCAGCTGCAATCAGAGACCATTCCGGACTGAACCTTCTACTACAACCTCTTCAAGGACCGCCCTATGTGTTACAGCGTGCAAGACCTAACGCGGCAACTCGGGCAGCCATACCCAATATATGCCGATGCGACGATTGCGTTGTCCAAGAAGCAAGCACCGGCGGAAGAGATGGTCCAGCTGACTACTCACTACTCAAGTGGCCACTCAAGATAAGATGATGCAGTTTAAGCCAGCGAGCTCTAATGAGTCCGAGTGTTTGGTGACTCGGTTCTGGAGGTTTGAAAGCTAGTTCTCATTTGTCCTGGGATTAGGAGGCCACTTGTGACCTTTTGTTCTCAGCGTCTTATTCCACTTGTATTTCATAATGGCTCAGCGGTGCAGTTTAGGTTAGGTCTTATGTCATTCAGGCGTTATGAATTCTACAACTTGGAGTTGGGTCTGCACGACTCCAGTCTTCACCAGCTGTGGGGCGGTGTGGCTGAAGAGTGGGGCCCATGGAGTTGATCGCTGTTCTTATCGATAACTAACCTTAATTCGCCCCCACACTGTTCCCTGCGCGTCAACCTCACAACCATGTTCAAACGTCAACTCTAACAAGTCAATCCATCCAAGAACCCTCGAGCCCGACACGCAGCAACCGTTTGAACACATCAGTCTATACTCGCTTACTTCTCGCTGAATGAGACACAATTTTCCTGATAAATCGAAATCGCCCACCCGGTTGCCGTGATGGAGTCGCGCAAAGGTACTGCCCGGCAGCTCGCGTCTTACCCCGACAGTATCACTAACCACAGCCGCGTCGCAGATGAAGAGGCTACGACCATCAAGGTAGCCTCAGGCAAGAACCCGACCAAGGCGCAACCCAACGGCCCCTTAAAACTGAAGAAGACGGCGGCCAAGGTTGGCAAACCTGGTGCCTGGAAGGAAGCTGGTGCTCTAGACGGTTAGTCATCTCATATTGTCTGCGTTTGTCCTGGCTCTGACCGTACTCGTGACTGCAGCCGAAGAAAAGAAAAAGTCGAGCAAAGATGGCAACATCGTCGCTGCCTCGTCGCCCAGCCCGGTCATCAACAACCTCGAGAGCCCGAGCCGAAAGACGTTTGACGTTGGCCGACCCGTCGAGGACTCGCTCGTCATGCAGCAGTGCAAACACTGCAAGAAGGGAATTCTTCCGAATGCCGCCAAGGAGCACATCGCCCAGTGCTTGCGTATCAAGAAGGAAAAGGCCCAGCGGAAAAAAGAGGCTCGAGAGGCGCGCGAACGCGCCAAGGAAGCTGCTCGTGAGGTCGAGGCTCGCAAGGCGGATGGAGACGGCGACGCACGAGGCGACGACGAAAGCGATGCGGACGACGATATCGCTAGTAAGGGCCCCGACGGGGGCAAGACGACCAAGAAGGCGACAGGCAAGAAGACAGATGTGGGCGGCAAGAAGAGGAAGGCGGAAACGGAACTCAACAAAGACAGGGCCAAAAAGAAGAAGGACGAGCCGAAACCTAAGGTTGCTAAGCCCAAGGGGCCGGTCGACGTCGAACGGCAATGTGGTGTCCTTCTAGCAAATGGCCAGCCCTGTGCCCGCTCGTTGACGTGCAAGAGCCATAGCATGGGTGCCAAGCGAGCGGTGCCTGGGCGATCACTACCGTACGACATGTTGCTGGCAGCATACCAGAAGAAAAATCAAGCGAAGCAACAAAAGGCCGCAATCGATGCTAATGCCCCGCTGGAGGAGGAGGATGAAATCAACGCCAGCATGGTCGACAGTGACGAAGAATGCGCCAACGTGATGCGGGCCCTGAGCACGTGGAATCCCCAGCCCGTTGTGCCACAGCCGGTCTTTCGGCCTCTTAACATGACGTACCAGCGGGCTCGTCTTCATGAGCAGCTCATGGCCGCTACGAATGGGGGCCGAGTCAACATTTTTGCTGTCAGGGGTTATGGAGCGCAGAGGTTACCAGAAAACCATCCGAGTTTGTTCGACAACGAAGATGCATTCGGGGAGCCCGATCTGGCTGTGGCGGGCGGCTCAGCACAACTTTCCAACTTCGGCATGCCAGGACCAGCACAGCCTAGGCTCTCGGTGGGCCGGGCTTAGTATCCAATCCGGGGGAAGCATCTCGCTATCAATATCCATCTCTGGTCGCTCAGATGATTCTACGAAACTACAGCACTGTACTTTACGTGTGACTCCCTATCTTTAAGGGATTACGCACATCGCTAGTTGTGCGAGCCGTCCTCCTTCGGACGTTCTGCCTTGGATCAGCTTGATCTTGGCAACACAAATAAACGCAGCCCCAACAAACACAACGTCAACGATTCATGTAAGTCTATGCTCCGACATGAGGATTCCAAGCTAACCCGGAGCCAGTGATTACAACGACACCGCAGAGGTGGATAGCTAGCAGCATGTTGCCAATATCATTATGGTGGCGCCTTTCTGTCCAGATACGGACGGATAGGATCAGCTGGACATGTGGGGTTACCGGAAGCAATTTTCTTGTATTTATGTGACGTCGAAATGAGGCATCAACAGCAGCTACTGGTGTGGATTCGAAGTTGACCCAGAAGGGCCGCGATGATCACTACAGTCTTCGGCATACCGGTGAACTCTCAAGCTAGCAGTCCGAAGCGCCGTTCTTCTGCAGAAACAACATGGGTCTAGGCGGGCGATGGCGTGTCAGTCGGACGCGTTATACCCCTTTGGTGGACTAGGGCTCAGTTTGAGGTTATGGGTCGAGTGGGCGACGTTAATCTCGCGGGTTCTCTGTCGGTTACATTGACGGAGTGGGTTGATGCCACAGGGAAATGCTGCAGGGTAGCCATGATTATTCTTCTCAGACTTGTCATTTATACCTTAGTCTGCGGGGTCTACTTCAAGGGCTTCATGTAAAACTACAGTCCAATATATGTCTAAGAAAGTTCTTTCTTCGCTTTATAGACCCGTAGATCCCAGCAGAGAAATCCCAAATCCAAATCCAAATCCAAATAATCCGTTTCACCCAGTACCTAACTAGGTACCTACGTAACTAGGTAAGCTCAAAACAGCTCTCACCAGTGCTAAACAGCAGAGGGACGGCAGTAGTTTCTTGAACGAGCCCAGTCTTGGCCGTTTCTTGGTGGCGGGGGTCGGTCGGTGCCGTTCGGTGGGTATGGTGAACAGGATGAAACATGGGAGGATAATTCCCTTTAAATATGAGAATAGTCTCTCCCTATAAACGCAGTATCTCTCCCAAGGATATGGGACCGCGGTAGGTATCGGAGACGAAAGAGTCGGTGGGTGATACGGTACCTAGGTAGAAGCGAATGTTTTGCAGAAGGCGGGCGCCTGATCGACTTTAAACAATATCGTTGGGCCCCAGGGGACACTTGTAGCCGTCCTGGTTGTTCGGGAATCACCAGAGAGGAGGGGAAGCCATTGCCATCCCCCTGCCCCTTTTCCATTCCAAGACGGATGATATCGGACCCTGCCACGTTAGTTCTAGGGAGCGATATATCTCCCTCTTATTAGGTAGCTTCTTGTGAGACCCTACCTTGATGATACGCCCTCCGTCCTCTATACCAACCCGAACATTCTGAGTCGTTTGTCGTGTCGGATGTAGATCTCTTTCTCTCCACTCTCCGCCCCTCCCTCTCGACATACCTGAGAGCGAGCCTTGCATTTGCGGACCTGTCCGAGGTTGACGTGGCTCGGATCTCTTGGTAGTCTCCACGGCGGAGGAGAGGACGGTTAGGTTATATCTCTCGTCCTCCTCCTAACCTAAATAATGAAACTGGCTGGGGTTGATTGGGTACAGCAACACCATCGACGGGATGGACAGGATAGAGACTAGACCAGCAAATGCCAAGGTCCCAGCACCTTCAGCTTGTTGTGAAGTTGCGGCTGTCAACGTTATGAAAGTACAGATATATATAGAGGGACGAAGTTGGACCCCGACTCCAGGGTCGAAACCCGCCATTTCTTGAAAAGGTGAAAAGGAACTTGTTCGGCCTTTAACCTGACTGGTCTGTCATTTCCAGGATGAAGTTATTTTCACATGACTTGTAAGATGTATATCGCCATACGACAAAAAAAAAGGAGGCTCCAGCCGTAAAAATGGAGAGCTTGGGCGGGCTGGGATTCGAACCCAGGTCTTTCGCTAAACGCTGAAGGGAAGATAGAAGAAAACAACGCTGTAACGCTTAGGAACACGCTTGACCACTGCGCTACCCGCCCTTGTTGGGATTTCGGTATACATAGCAGTGTGTTCCAGCCTTATATACCCCGTTTACGTTCGGACCAACAGAGGTAAAAATGAAGAGCTTGGGCGGGCTGGGAGTCGAACCCAGGTCTTTCGCTAAACGCTGAAGGGAAGGTAGAGAAGAAACAACGCTGTAACGCTTAGGAATACGCTGACCACTACGCTACCCGCCCTGTATCCTTGAAGTATGTACCATGGATTAAGACTATATACCCCGTTACCTGACACTGTGAATGAGTAAAAAAAGAATAGCTTGGGCGGGCTGGGATTCGAACCCAGGTCTTTCAATGAACGCTTTTGTGATAGATTTGGAATAGAAAACAACGCTGATGACGCTCACGGAACACGCTGACCACTGCGCTACCCGCCCTGTTGATTCTTGTTATGGGGTATAAGTCTATCTGAAGTTATATACCCCGATCACTTAATAGTTCTCAACAAGATAACGTGATTCCAGCCGGGGTTCCTCGGGATAACCTTGGAAATAACGAAGCCCTCCAAATCGAAGAGACAAGCCCAGAAGCTGCGAGGCCATCATCATATGTGCCTCGTGTTCCCCTTGTGTATCGTCTCTTGACTGCACCGTTCCCCACAATACTCAGCTTCTGGTAGAGTTGCTGCAAGTACCGACATCGAGACCTTCGCGATCAGCTGGGTAGGGTGGTGGCTGGTGGGATTACCAACACAAAGATCACGCTTCCTTAGATTGCAGTAGCCGTACAACAGCCTCGTGCCCTCTCTTAGCGGCCAGGGATAGCGGCGTGTCGCCATAACAATCTACTACCTCAATCGCAGCACCCTTGTCGAGTAGTAGCCGTACAACAGCGTCGTGCCCATTCTCAGTGGCCCAGTATAGCGGCGTCCGGCCATAATAATCTAGTGCCTCGGCCGCAGCACCCCTATCGAGTAGTAGCCGTACAACAGCCTCGTGCCCTTCCTCAGCGGCCCGGGATAGCGGTGTCTGACCATTACAATCCACTGCCTCGATCGCAGCACCCTCATCGAGTAATAGCCGTACAACAGCCTCGTACCCTATACTAGCGGCCAGGGATAGCGGCGTCTGACCATTACGATCCATTGCCTCGATCGCAGCACCCTCATCGAGTAGTAGCCGTACAACAGCCTCGTGCCCTTGACTGGCGGCCCAAGATAGCGGCGTCCGGCCATAATCATCTACCGCCTCGATTACGGCGCCCTTATCGAGTAGTAGCCGTACAACAGACTCGTGCCCTTCCTCAGCGGCCTGGAATAGCGGCGTCCGGCCAATATGATCTGCTGCCTCGATCACAGCACCCTTATCGAGTAGTAGCCGTACAACATCCTCGTGCCCTTGACTGGCGGCCCAGGATAGCGGCGTCATGTCATCACGATCTGCTGCCTCGATCGCAGCACCCTTATCGAGTAGTAGCCGCACAACCGCCTCGAGTCCGAGATATGACGCTATGATGACAGCCGTAGCATTCACCGTAGGGAATTCCCTAGCCGAATTCCGGAAAATATCAAACCATGTTGAAAAGTTCTTCGAATCTGGATCACAAACTTCCAGGGCAAAGGACAACAAGACAGAACCATCGATGACATCGGCCTCGTAGAAGTGAGTCACCCAATTTCTCGCTGAGTAGTCTAAAAAGCCGGGTCGCGCATTCCAATCCGCCGGGGAAGGAAGGAGGTTGAGGTAGACTGTGCAGGCCTCGGCAAGGGCCTCGTGCGCACAGCGAGTGCTGAACTTGTGCGCCCAGTTTGTGGTAATAGTGATAGCAGTGGTCGGCCTTGGCGAGAACGTGAGAGGTAGGAGAAACTCCCTCGCCGTTTGATGCAGGAAATAGACTCTCCCGTCATATACCGTGATAAACAGCCCGCACATCTCCCGGAGACGCTGCTTGAATGCCTCGTCGGGCTCCAAGTCAAGGTCCTCCAGGCAAGTGGTATCCACTGTTACGCCAATTGCGATTTGCATCTCACAAAGCGTGAGTGGGCGGGTTGCCGCAAGGAGAACGAGAAGGGTCCTCCTGGCTTCGTCTGGCTGAGTGGATCGGTTCAAGATACCCTCGTAGGCATCGTATACCGTAGACGGCAGATGTTTGACGGCCGCCTCAAGTCCTTTAACGGTGCTCTTGATGGTAGGGCCCTCCAAGTACTCGAACACAAGGTATAGCCAGAGGTATGTGCGATGCTCGATAGCCATGAGACGTTCTTTGAGGTACGGCTTAAGCTTTGAGTCGTTGTTGAACTTGTTCATCCGCTCAACCCGGTATCCGATTACCGAATTGATCTCCTTGCGAATGGTTTCCGAGTCATCTTCGCCTTTTATTCGGATGCGTGGGAATATCTGCTCGAGAGACTGTATCGGCCCGGTCGTCGACTCATAGGGACGACTGGTCATAAGAATCTTGAGCTTTTTTCTCAGCCCGTTTCGAAAGTGTGTCGTGATATATTTTGATAACCTCGACATGTTGTCCTTGTCCTGGCGGCACTCGTCCAAAGCATCGAGAATAATGACAACAGTTCCGGCTTCTGAATCTGCGGTGGCAGTTTCCAGGATGTCCCAGAGCGCAGTGACATTGCTTGCAAGCTTCTCTCTGTCTTGCTTGTACCGCGGTAGCGCGTGCCGTATCAATCGTGGTCGCAGGCAGAGTAGTTGATGAATCAGAGCACAGAGCGCCAGTTCGATGGTGCATTGGTCGCCGTCTTTGAAGAAGAAGTAGCATACTGCAGCTTCCTTCGGTAGGCTGAAACCGAACCTAGAGTCGACGAGATACTTGGCGAGGACGGACTTTCCACAACCTGGGTCGGCCGAGACCAGCAGCGGGCCAGAATCGGCCTTTTGCCAAGTCTTGTAGCTCTCGTGGGTTAGGAACCAAAGACAGGTGTCTGGCACCCGTTCTTCGACGCGGTCTTTGTACCATGCGTAGTCCCCACGCCTAAAAACCTGTCTGCACTTGTCCTCCTCGGTCTCGACTGCCTTCTTGACGAGATCACCCAGTGCCGCTCTGCTCAAGGCAGCGTTGATATGCATTGACTCTCTCTCGACGCTGTCTCCCAGTTCTTTGATCTGTTTCAACATATCCTCCCAAGCATCCCATTTCACCGCGCCTCTCACAAAATTGCGGAACCGACCCCTGAAGAACCGTAAGACACTTTGGGCTTGGAAATCGATGATCGCCTTATAGAGCTCGATGACGTGCTCCCGGAACGCTGCTGGAAACGTATCGTCGTCGTTTCCGAAAAGAATCGACTCCATAGCAGCGTAGTACTCGATCTTGTTGGTGACGTAGGCAAAGCCCTCGGCGTTGGCCGTGTGCACGTCGCTCGGGTTGGTGAGAAGAGGCAGTATCAGGCAGACGCCAGCCCAGGCCGCACTGGCAAGTGGGCTGGCCGTCACCGCGTTGTCTATCCAATCTTTTCCGAGTTGGATGCCAGCGACGACATACTGTATCTGGTCTTGGAGCACAAACTCCTGGCGTCCGACCTTGACCGCGATTTTCTTGTCTTCCATGTGCTTCTGGCCCAAGACAATCATGTCCTCCATCTTCTGCTTCCGTGACGGCATGATACCCACGGTGGGCAGCGTGTTTTGTGGATCAGCGGGAGTAGGAGCCTTGGACAGTAGATCTTCGAGGTCGGTCGCAGAAGATGCATCTGCTAGGTAGGGGCGTGTATCGGCCAGCAGTGTCTCGTAGGCTTCTACCACATCCGGCTTCTCCTTTCTGAGAGCATCGTACGCGAGATCCCACAGCGACCTTTGATCAGTCGCCTCTTCGCTGGCCTCGAGAGGTGTTTCGTTTGTTCCGCATGGCTCGGGGCGGTTTATGGCTTCTCCGGATGCCGATGCTGGTTTTGGAATACTCGATGACTCGACTCTGCCGACGACTGTAGTGTGGCTAGAAAGTTCGGCAACCGCACCGTCCACCGTCGGCGGGCGCTCGCCAGCCTGTGCAGCCTTGCCCGATGTATGGGATTTCGGTTTGCGCCCAAAAAAGCGACGAGCAAATGTCCGAGGATTTGAGAAAGCGTCCCCAATGGGCTGCTTATTCTCCTTAGAAGGCCCCATTTTGTGCCGTTGCGAGTGCTGGTAGTTCTCTCTCGACTCTGGCGGTCATTTCGCAGAGGGCGTTCACGAGACCGGTGGGGGTACTGGGGACATAACCGACCCAGCGCTCGAAATCAAATGGTCATTATTTAACTAGTCAAAGCGACTGATCACAGGTGGCTGATCAAAAGAGATTCATCAAAGAATATCAATCAGGATACAGTTGATGTCGAGGATCCACCACCAAGGACTATAGCTTGAGCGGTACTGCGTGAAATAATCAGGCATCATTGGGTAGTTACTGGCGGTTGTGGTGCCGCTTGCCTAGGTACTGGATAGCACGATTCCGCCTGAGGCATCACTCAGCCACCCCCTCTTTCCCGCCATTTTGTATTTGCTCAACAGCCTTGCCCGGATGCTCATCACAGGAAGGGACAAGTGCCTGCTAGCAACGCTGCACCACGTTTGGGATCACTACCAGAGCGATCAGAAAGGTGGGGGTCGCAAATTGATTTATCCTGCTGTCAGATCAAGTGCAACTGCTAGGGTCAAGAAGCAATTGCTTGGTAACCTTGCTTCCCGGTTTTTGGCGCAGTGGGTAGTTGTGACAGTTACGGAGCAATGGCGTCGGCGACGGTGATCTTGCTGAGTGGTATGTCTTAAGGTGGTATGCGAGGTACAAATTGAGGCATGCACACTGGCAAGAGAGTTCCGCGTGTTTATATCGTCGATTCAATTTCCATCCTCGCGCGTTCGGCAACAAGTCAACCCTGGTCGTCACGCCGACAGCGACCGGGACGTGGATAGTTACTCATGATTGGTCGCAAACATGACACTTTCGACTTTGCAAGATGTCCCGTTTGTGAGCAGACAAGTATCAAACCCAGATAAGAAATTGGCCACGATGAGTCCGGTCATCTCGCTGATTACAAGGAAGCCCACCCGCCGTCTCTGGGTTTCGATGACCAACAAGCGCGCAGTCATTCTGTGGCTGGAGTCTACGGAATACACAAACACCGCAACAAACGTCATTCGTCGAGAGAAAAGCGAAATACAGGCACAAACCATCGTTGAAAACACAGCACCCGAAGCCACAAAACGCTTGCAAATATCGCGTACTTGGCGCCAGTCCAGCGCGTACCGGCGGGACAATAGGTACGACCGACCGGCAGCTGCGAGTTAAAGTGGGGCATTCGGCCGGAGGTGCTCCGGACACGGACCCACAAATTCGGGGTCATGCACCGGCTGGCCCCCCGCTCTGTCCGTAAATATCCGTCTGGCCTGAACACCGATGGCCCTGATGCTAATAACTAGATGAATAATGGGGATGAATTCTTCTT